GCTGTCTTAAGACTCCTTCTGGCCAATGGACTATGAGCTGAACTGGTATGTGTTACTTCTGGACTAAGGAAGCCAAAAAAGCTCCTTCTTCTTTTTTTTTTTTTTCTATTAAGATTTTATTTTCAATGGGCCCCTGGGTGGTTCAGATGGTTAGCAACTGCCTTTGGCTCAGGTCATGATCCCAGGGCCCTGGGATCAAGCCCCACATCGGGCTCCCAGTTCAGCGGGAGTCTGCTTCTCCCTCTCCCTCTGCTGCTCCCCCTGCTCAGGCTCTCTCTCTCTCTCTCTCTCTCTCTGTATCTCTCTATCTCAAATGAATAAATAAAATAAAACAAAAAGATTTTATTCTCAAGTAATCTCTACAACCAACTCAGGGCTTAAACTTAAAACTCCGAGGTCAAGAACCGCATGCTCTACCAACAAAACCAGCCAGGAGCCCCAGGAAGCCAAAAAAGCTCTTGAAACCTTTTGTTTTTCTCTTTCTCTGCTATGATCATGGAGGAGGCCTCATGTTGAGATGGAAGAGCTGTAAGATTGAAGCAGCCTATATTGTGTAGACCCTGCCCAGGCTTCAGCTTCTTTAGAGTCTCCTAGATCCAAGGTGGAATTTGCATGGTAGAGACATGAGCTTTCTGAGTTAAGCCTTTGATATCTGCGGGGTTGTTTGATACTGCAGCCTAAGTCTACCTTTTCCTGACTAATATACCACCTTTCACATACATATCCATAAACATGTAGCTTTGTTTCTTGAGTCATCACTCTGATTCATTTACCTATTTGCTTCTCCTTATACTAATTCTTCAATTTTATTGTCACTTTGCAGCATATATATATATATATATACACACACACACATATATATATTTTTACTTTATATCATATTTTAATGACTGAGGGGGCAAGATTTACATCATTGAGACTTTTAAAAAATCCTTGCCTAGTCATAAGCATTAACTTTTTAAGACAGATTTTTAGAACTCTGTATAAAAGATCTTGGCTGTACTTTGCATCATATTCCATTCGATTTACAGATTAATTTGGGAAAATTGACATCTCCACCATATGAGGCCATCCTGCTTTATACATATGTCTTGCATGTTTTTTCTTCAGCTTTTTTTTTCTGATAGTTTTTTTGCTCTTCAATAAGATCTTTGTCCATATTACATTTTAAAATTATTCTTACTGGTGTATAGGAAGAGAATTGGTGTGTGTATATTTCTCTCTTATGTAGCCTTCCTGAGATCCCTAGTTTTGAAAATAATTGGTTGATTCTCTTTCCCCTAAAGGGGGTCCTGGGATTGCTATTTCTTAGAGACTTAATCCTTCTTCTGAATTTGTTTCTAGTCACTAGCCTGGGAAAATTCAGTGTATTTCCATTCTTCATGGTTTCTCCTACCATCTGTTCTAGGAAGTGTCCTATTTAAATTCTCCCTCCACCTCTTGTTCCTGTAAGGCATTTAGCAAATCTGTTTGTGTAATTAAATTCCTGTACTATTATTACTCTATGGACTAATTTTACAGCACTACCTAGCTTATTTAATATTTCTGTATTGGTTTCACCATCCTCAATAGGAAAACTATTACATATTGTTTATTTACTTTCTTACTACATTTTTTGTAATCTGAATATAATCTCTTTACCTCTCCTTGATTATCCTTTTAATATCAAGTCCTGAGTTATCAATTTTAGCAAGGTCTTTGCTTGTTACTATGTGTTAAAAGTTTCTAAATTTATAGAGTATATGGATTGGAATATATGTTGTTATCTCACTTGGTAAATTGTTTTCTTAAATTGATTATTCAATGTGTAAAAAGCGTTCAGAGTACAAAAGATATCTTACTCATATGAGTATGTTTATATAAATCTTACCACATTTTTTTGAGTCTTTTTGGAATAAGTTTAACAAAAATCCTGTGAAGTCCCATGAGTACTTAAATACTATGGCATCAAAGCGTGTAGCTTCCCAAAGGTTTTAAAACCATTTTTCCCAATACTTTTTGCCCAAACAAGTACCTAATAGGGCAAGTCTACTCACAAAAGGTAAAAGGGGAGAGGTAGTTCCCATGCTGCTTTCTGGAAATGTCACCGCAAAATAACACCTAAGCTATTCTTCACAAAGTCATAAAAAGAAAATACTGGGTTAATCAGAATGGGTTAGATGATCCTTCAGTGACAAACAATTCCAAATTTTCAGGGTGACTTTTTGATAGATGAAAGATGGCCACAATTTATTTTGGCTGTTTCTTGTTAAGGGGTAAAGTCTAATTCCTCTTCTCTTTAATCTGGGCTGGCCTTTAGTGATCTGTTTAACCAGTAGAATGTAGTGGATGTGACAAGTGTCTTCCACCATATGCAGGAATCCAAGCAAAAACAGCCCAGCCAAACCCCTCAGCCCCCAGAACCATGAGACTTGATATTGTGGTAGTTATGTAGTAATAGCTAACCTGAATAGGTTTATCATAATGAAAATGTATTTCTTGCCTAAGTAAAATCCCCTGAGAATCCAGGGGACCATCTAGAGCAACTGTTCTCCAGGAAGCATCTTAGCAACTTAAGCTTCTTTGTGGTCTTGTGTAATTCTAGATCATGTCTTTTCTCCAAGAGTTTCATCATAGGAGCTTCCTGCTTCCTGCTTCCACTGGAGGGTCTCACATCAGTGATTAAATGTTCCAATCTTCAAGTGGTATATACACATCCTTTCTACTTGCAGACCTTTTACACTGTTGGCCTAACTTCATAGGGGATGTAGAAGTGTACTCCTTTGTGGGCTGGGAAAGAGAAGGGCGCTGGGTATACATCTACCGCATGTGATGTATCAGTGAGAAACATGCAGATCTGGGGATAGAGGAAAAACGGCATTTGGCTTTTAACTCCCTCTTCAACCCGAGAGGGAAAGGGGAAGCAGGGCTAGACCTATTGTCAACCTGACCTTAAGTCACACTCTCAAAGACTTCACCAGGGTTCCTAATGTACTTGAGGAACGGGAGTAGAGTTACTGGAGTATAGGGGATTGTGGAAATGGCAGCGTGGAAAGCTGGCAAAACTGAAGCAGTATTGTGAAGGATTTTGCGTACCAAGAAAAGCAACTTTGACTTTAATCTAGGAAAATTAGAGAATCTTAGAAGCAATATAGCATGTTGTTGCCTCCAGATAATAAGACATAAGATTTTTAATCATACCATGTGTAAGGCATTATATTTACCCCATTTAATCTTCACAGCCCTCTTATGCAGTTGGTTCTATTATTACCTGCATTTAAACAGAACCTTGGTGTGAACTAGTTTTAGCCCCAAGTCACATAGGTAAGAAGTGTCAGGGCTCAGATACTGATCATTGGACAGCAATTGCCCCCTTACCTGGCTCTGTGCCATCATGCTACTCATTTGCTCCCATACATTCTTGCTATGGTCCTTCCTACTGACCTTACTCTGAAGGCCAGGAAATGTAATCCTTGAACACACGTTTTGTGTTAGAAAGAGGAAGAGCTTCAGCAATGAGTTTCCGTTGTGGCTCAGATACTCTCTCTTTTTAACTCTTCATTTTGCAAATTTTCCAGCATACACAAAAGTAGAAAAAAGCAAAAATGAACTTAGCTTCAGCACTGCTTGACGTTGTGTCACTTACGTTTATCCATCCTCTCTGCACTCCCTAAATTTTATTTCTGGAGTATTATCAAGTGAATTCTAGACACCATATTATTTCACACATAAATATTTTACTATCTGTAACCAATAAAGACTTTTTAAAAATATAGTTATAAGACCATTATCACACCCCCAACAAAATTCGTAGTTATTTCTTAATAGCAGAATCTGTTTTAAAGAATTTTTTTCTACCAATCACATATCATGTACAAAAGCTGCACCAAAAAGAATGATAGAATTCCTGTGTATGATATTTCTTTTTATAAGCAAAATAAAGTGTTTTCTATTGCGTTTATAGGATTGATTTGTATGCAGTAACAGTGATTCTTAGTAACACTTATTGCAAGGACATTTTCCAAATTTACAATAATCTGTAAATGTGAGTCTTATATTTTTATAAGGGCTGGCTCCACATAGCATGGAGCTACTACTAATTAACACCCAACTCAAGTAAGATCTTCTCTGGAGGCAAAATTAATCTTTCTCTCCTACAGGATTAGAGATTGATCTCATGTGCCCAGCAATACTGTTAGGTTTATAGCTGTCTTTGTTTTAAGCCCCGGACAGAAATCACACTTTTTCATCATGTATTGACCATATTACCTAGTCTTATGCTTTGCACAGCTAACAAATTTTTATAAAGCACACTTTGAAAAAGCTCAGTCACCTTCTAATTGTATTTCAGCCATACAAACTCAGGGTGTGGTTATCTCAAGGTACAGAAGCATCTAATGTGTATCTGGAGAGAGATTTGGAAATCATTTAGGCTACTTTCATTTTAGATCTGACACACTGTAGCCAAGAGAAGTGCGAGATCCATTTAATTGCAACTGCCAATATTCTTTTATTCACTGACTCGTTTGTTAGTACTCATGTTTTAGAAGTTCTTTATAAAATTACAATTATTAAAAAATACAACTGCAGAATCTAGTTTCACTATTATCTCCAATTAGGCAGTGATACTTCAATATACACACGCAGAGAGTATTTAAATTTTCCTCTCCCTTTCAGGAAGAGATGGCCAAGCATCCTTCTGTTTTCTCATTGTAAATAGGTTCACTCTGCAGTCCGTTTTACTTTCACTACCATTGAATAGGGGATGAATTTTTAAATTAGTGGCCGTGTTTCTCTTTAGAAATTCCCACGCGCGCCAACCCCCGTACTGGAGCCTGGGCACACGAGGTACCAGTTCTAACTTAAGAAACATTGGGTCATCTGTTTATTTTCGGGAGGGGGGAAGGGGAGGAAGGGCGTCAGAAAGAAAGGGCGGCCGTTGCCCAGGCAACCGACACCCCGGGCAACGGCGAGGCGAGGCGGGAGGGGGCGTGGCTTCGGCGAGCCCGGGCGGATAAGAGGCGGCGCTGGCCACCCGCCTCCGAAGCTGGGACTGTTCGTGCGGCCGGCCGGAGGCGGGGCGGCCCGGCACCACCTCCGACTACCTGGGAAGGCCTGGGCTGGCGGGCTAGCGAGGCCCCGGGCCCGCCGCTTCCCGTCCCCACACCCCCTGCCGAGGAGCCTCCCTCCGCGCCCCAACATGGCGGGCGGGCACTGGGGTCCGCTGCTGACGGCGCTCCTGGCCGCCCGAGTCGCGGCGGCGGCGGAGGGCGGCCCCGAGCAGGCCGCGCTACCGGAGGAGCGGAGCTGGGTGCGGCCCATGACCGCCTCCAACTGGACGCTGGTGATGGAGGGCGAGTGGATGCTGAAATTGTGAGTGTGCCCGCCCGCCCCGCACGCCACACAGCCCTTGTGGGCGCCGCCCTCCCAGAGCCGCGCGGGCGTGTGTGGGTCCTGCACTGCCCGTTGGGCTCGACCAGTGCTCGCTGGGCGACCTGAGGCGCCGGGGCCGGGCTGCTCACGCTGCGCATGCGCGCCAGGCCCTCCGCGGTGACAGCTGCGGGTGCCGAGCATCGCTCTCCCCCCCCCCACCCCAGCCCCTTGCCTTGTTAGCCCCCTGCTTTGGGGAAAGAGTTTTAGGCGTGGGGTGAGCAGCTTACCAAGGGAAGGAGGGGTAAATGGAGAAAATCTGTGAAAAAATCGCGTGCTTTTGGTATAGGCGTATACGTAGAGAAGGGCTGCCATTGAATGACATTTACGTATAGTACAAATACGTAGCACGGGCTAGGTAAGGTATTTGTTGAATGAGTAATTCCAGCACGGTGAAGGGCAGACCAGTTTGTGCAAAGTAGTTTGGTTTTCATTTTGAAGACCCCGGGATGTCATTGTGAAAAATAAAACAGGAAGATGGGAGTGTTTTTGAAGTTTTAGAACAAGATTGCAAACAAATGTTGATATTTGTTATCATTTTTAGAGGTAGAGATTTCTGGATAGATATCTTAATGTGCTAGTGTAATAAAGAAAAGGACATACCTAGATTGCCCCTTTTGAACAACAGAAGGTAATTGTGCGTGGTGCCTTTGCTTGAAGGAGAGGGAACAATATAGTTTTGAGTTAGGAACAGAGAAGTAGCTTAAAATAACTTCTAGGAAGAAAGTGATCATTTGGAAAAAAGCCTTGAGGTAGACAATGGGCAGATGTCTGAACAGGCTTCAGAGACCATCATGGTGGGCTTGCCGGGGGAAAATGAAGAACCTCTGGAAAAATGATCACTGAGACCTTATCTCTTTAGACTGCAGTTTCAGGTCATATACATACTTGATCACTACTATTTGCTGATTAATCTTACCTTGAGGACACAGACACACAGAATTGGATCTTTCCTTTCTTTGTCCAAGACCAAATTTTGATTCTTTCAGTTTAGATCGCAAATTGCAGATGCCTATGCAGTGAAAACCTCACTTGTGAGATCAGGGCCAAAAGTGACAACTCTCTTAGCAGATTACATTGTTCAGAAAATCATTACCCCTTCAAACATGCATATACCTTTTGGTCACAAAGAAGGGGATTTTTTAGACCTCTAGGTAAAATGCCTTTGGTATCATAATGAGCAAATGAAATGATTAAAGAAATCTGTAGACATGAAAGACTTATTAAACTACTCAACCACTTTGGATGATGATGAGGAGGTCATTTTCCATTTAAGAGAGAAACTTTTAAGTAAGTGGAGACTTATTCAGGACTGTCATGTTTGTAATAATTGTAGGAATTTTAGACTGCATTTTGTCAGCTAGTACTACAGAAAGTTCTTTTTTAAAATAGATGCTTACGCAGTGGACCTTCCTAGATGTCAATTTTCTGAATAAATCTGACTTTGTATATGTACATGATGAAGGTCAAGGCAGAAGGCCTCAACACCTTTATAGCTCCTTTTTGGAATAGCTTTTTTTTTTTTTTTTTTTTAAGTAAAAGCTAAGCAAACTAAAGGTGAGCGTAAGCCACATTAAGCTCGTAAACAGCAACAGCCAACGATTCCAGTGTTTGGACATGTCGACTGTTCAAATTATACTCCTCATGAATGTACAAGTCCAGACGTGGTAACCAATTGCTTTAAACTTGCCATGCGTCCATTGCATGGAATATGTTTGGGCTGTGATACAAGATGAGATTTGTAACCCAGAAGTAAGCTGCCCTTGAGATCATTTTAGTAGAAGTTCCCTTTCCATCGAGTACACTTCAGAATAGTTCAATATGAAGGGAGGCTGTAAAGGAAAGAAGATTTAAACCATTATATCCAACTTTTTCTATATACCAGAACCGAAGTCCTGAAGAAATATTGTAGCTCTTGTCTGTTTGTAATACTCCGTCTCCTTCCTTTGACAGAAATCCAACACTTAAAAAATATAAAGTTCATTACATTCTCTACCATGATAGGCCTATAAATTTCCAAGAATTCACTCAAATAGCCAATAATTTATCAGATTTTTTTCTTGGTGTATATAACAGAGAAAAGCCAAATGTGTTAATACTCCTACCAGGTCAACCCCTTTTTCAAGTGAACTGATCGTAATGAACAGATTGTTAGGGGTCCACAGATGATGCGTTTAACTTTCCTACAGAAGCAACTTAGGAGGCTTTCTGACGGTATTAAAATTTTGACCATTACTTTGAATGACAGTTCTTTATTTGTTCTTTTGCTTATATGCAACTTCTCTTCAGGGAATTTTTTCTTTCATATCCCACTTCATACAAAGCTCCTATAGTACAATTCCTGGTCATATTGGGATTGATAGTTTAACTTATTTTTAAGGACCTAGCAGTGTTTTCTGCTCCTATTGTAAAACCTAATTTGGTATATTTTCTTTGTCTTTAAAACAGTCAATTTTTTTGGCAACTTGCAATTGAATTTTTAGTTTTTTAAAAAGATTTATTTATTTTAGAGATAGAGAGGGAGAGAGTGTGTGCATGTGGGGGAGGGGCAGAGGGAGAGAATATTTGAGCAGACTCCCCCACTGAGTGTGGAGCCCAATTCCTGGCTTGATCTCAGCACCCTGAGATCATGACCTGAGCCCAAACCAAGAGTCAGTCATTCAACCAACTGAGCCACCGAAGTGCCCCTGAATTTTCAGTTTTAAAAAAGCACTTCTCTGTTAAGGAGAAATATCAGTTAAAAATATATTTGTAGTAATTCACCATTTCAATTCTGAACCTTTTTAAAAATCTGAAAAATTATCCCATTACTATTTACATTTTCATTAATGCTTATTGTATATTCAGTTTTTCTCTTCTTGTTTGCTTTTATACATTTAACATTTATAATTTTATGCCTATTTCTGCCATGTCTCTAAAATTGGCTTACTGTGCTTTTCTCATCTTAACCTCTGATGAAAAGTTTCTCCTTTTTCAGGGTTAGAAAAGATTATATAATCTTTAAAATATCTTCTGATGTTTTCTTTTCTCTATTTTCATTGTTTTGTGCTATCCTTCATTCCATTACTTTGTAACCTTTTGCTATTTTAAACTTTTTTGGTTCCCATTGTATCCGTCCTTGAGAATACTACTTTTGTTCTTTTGACAAACAACAGCATGCATTCTATATACTTTTCTGGTGTTTTTTTTTTTTCCCCCAGAGGAAAAAGTAGCTATCCAAGCAGCTTAATTTTGACCTGCCTACTTTTAAACTGATATCCAGAGGCAAAGTATGTCTTTAGGTTAATTTACCTTTGTAAAGCGTATAGATCTTTGTAAAACACTACCTTTTCTGACTTTGTTCTTGGGCGATCATGTTTCAAAATTGAAAACAGTCACAGTGATAGAGGGAAGTCTCATTTATTTCCCTAGGACCTCTAGGTTTTAGTACTTTTTTCCCCCCAAATCCTTCTTATTCCTGAAGAGAACATCTTCAACATCATCGCCTTAGCTTGTCCCTGTCAAATATCATTTTTTTGCAATTTAACAGATTATTTTGATGTGCTGATGTGCTGATTGAATGTTTAAGAGGTAGTCATTAAATGCTTATTATGTTTCAAGTTTAGAGTTAGGGATCTGGGAAGATGAAAATGAAGGAGCTAAATTCTTTGCTTTCTAGGGACTGTCAGTCTTCTGTGCTCTGAAGGAAATAAGTAGCAGATATAGCATTCATTTATTTAGCAAACGTTTACTGAATGCTTCTTCTCTTTCAGGCATTCAGCAGTGGTTCTCATCAGGCACTACTGGCATCTTGGTTTGGACAGTTTTTTGATATGTGGGGATGGCCTGCCCATTGCTGAACCTTAAGTATTGCTGCCCCTGCCCATTCTAGTATTCATGTGACACCAAAAAAATTTAGCAATCTCCATCCCTTATGCATATTTCCAAATGTGTCTGATTGAAAACCACTGCCCTGGGTACTGTTACGGGTATATAAAAAACATACAAAAGAATAGCTCATAAGTGAACATATAAGTATTTGATTTCAGATTGTTTTCGCAAGGGCTATCCACATCACCTCCATGATCCTCATCATCTCAGTCACAGGAAACCGTTACATTGTTTATATAACAAGTCCTCTTCTTCATCAGTGCTCTCTTATTTGATCATCCCAGCAATCAGGTGCAGAACTTTCATTCTCATTCTCATTTCCTAGAGGAGATTAAAACTGGAAGAGGTTAAAGCTTTGGCCAAGGCCAGTAGTAAGTGGTTGTCAAGGCCAGAACTAGAATGCAGGTCTGAGCTTTGCAGTTCCTGATGCAAGCCTAGAATTGTTGGGTAGTGGGGGAGCCTGGCTTATTTATGCTTAGGCTGTCAGCTGGCCAGCACCATGAGCCACCTGAAAGAAAGCCTTTTCTTTGAAGCCTGTGGAATTCAGAGGCCCACCCATAGTTTTATCATCTGTAGAATCTCCAAATGAAGAGCATTATTGCTATATCCTCATTCCTGACACTCTTCACTCAAACAGGTGCTCTGCCTTCTATGCACACAAACCACCCAGGAAAATTCTCACTTTGTCTTGTTTGTATCTATCATGGCCCTTATCACAACTTGTAATTATAAATTAATTTTTATGCTTCTACACTAGGTTTTTGTCTAATTCTTCTTCTAGACTATCAGCTTTTCAGTAGAGGATGAAAGTCTTTCTTCTTTCTATTTATCTCCAGAGTCTTGATAACAAGTACTAAGTGTTCAATAAATACTTTGACTAAGTGAATGAATGACCAGTTGTTCCTTTAATGAAGAGCTTCCTCATGTACATCACTGAAGGAAACATCTATCTGTATATATTTTCATAGGTACTAAGGATAGTCACTGTCATCTCCCGTTTGTTCATTAATGTAGTAAATATTTACTGTGGCCTAGGACCTGCCAGGCTCTGTTCTAGTTAGGTACAAGTGATG